TCATTCACATCCGCTACCGATTACACCACCCACACATCCACTAGTGTACTTGAGAAACCTATTTTTCTATAAAAAAAAAAAAGACAAAATCATTTAAAAGTATTAATACGAAATGTCAACCCAAAGTGGCATTGCCTGCAAGGTCAATAAAAGCCGAATGTTTCCTTATAAGGCAACAACTAATATTATAATTCCCTTTGTCATATTGGAATTGTATGTATACTTTCGAATTGTTATTTCTCGGTACGCAGCTATTACGCCATCCGCATATACAAGTCAATTAGTGGATGTCTCTTCTCTTCTCAGGAGAAGTTACACAGATAAAACTGTCTTTCACCGCTGAGTGTAAACCTCAATGTTTAATTTGATATTTACATACTCTCTCTCTCTCTCTCTCTCTCTCTCTATATATATATATATATATATATATATATATATATATATATATATATATATATAAAAGCAAGTGTAAATGGATATAAATCCGACAGAATGTAGAAATATATATATATATAAGCGTAGTGTCGGTGGGTAGCGTATTCGCTCTGTTTTGATAATTTAAACATGGAAGAGTACTTTTACTGTTTAGGTAGGTGGGTCTTTTTTTGCTTTTTTTCTCTGGTTATATTTCTTTTCTGTTATTTTATCATTTCTTGTCTTGTTTTTTGATTAATTCGTTTTTGGTTTCCATTTTTAATTTTATTGTTACTGTTTGTGCTTTACGTATGCTTCAGTTTATTCTCTCTCTTTCTCTCTCTCTCTCTCTCTCTCTCTCTCTCTATATATATATATATATATATATATATATATATATATATATATATATATAATGCTAAAGCTATAGTTTTCAGGTATATATTTATAGGTAAATGTGCTCAATATAAAACATAGAATACATGTACATATAAAAAGTAGACACGGAGGCCAACACTGAGCGGTGACGGTCTGTTTCACGCTAGAACGCAATCTTCAGGTCATGAAGACTTGGTCAAACGATTGCGTTCCTGCATGAATCAGGCTTTCTGCTCTCCGCTGACCTCAATTTCAATGCTCATATATATATATATATATATATATATATATATATATATATATATGTGTGTGTGTGTGTGTGTGTGTGTGTGTATGTATTTATAATGAGGCATCTATATCAAATTCGCTGTATCTACTATAATCAACGCATCACGTAGGTGAATTTTATCGAGACTTTAATAGTTAATTTCCCTTTTAACAAAAGTAGCACCATTACTAGCAGTCGTATTAGTATTAGTTATAATTTGACTGTATCAATGCACAAGCACATTTTGTATGTGTGTTCGCTGTACTCTCTCTTTCTCGTCATGATAATAGTTACTGACAGAGAGAGAAAGTAAGAGTCACTTTCTTCATTAGATATATATATATATATATATATATATAAAAAGAAATATGTTGTAGTGGTTCCAACGAGAGAAAAGTATGTATATTAAAAAAGAAGAGGGGTGCCGCAAACGTTTTTTGGTTGTAATGTGGATTTATTGAGAAAAAATATTATACTTTGTTTTACATAATTTCGACACGTGTTTCTGGTCTGGTCTCGCAACCGTCTTCAGGTGAAAGTGGAGATTTTTATATTATTAAAAATAATTAATTTTTCTTCATGTTCAATGTGGAATATTCTCGATATGAGACATTCTGTTTGTGTGTTGGCAATCCAATTTTCTTTCTAAATTGTCAATGAAGAGTTCTGCGTGAAGGGTCATAAAACAATTAAGGTTTGTCCAGCGAGTAGTTATCGGCATTTAATCTTTTAATGTTTTAGTGACCTCTATGTGCTCTTGGATCTGTTTCTATTTTGGCGTGTTTCTGTCAGCATGCGTGTATATATGCGTGCGTATATTTCCTTACTACGAGGAATTCGTAAACTTATTTGTACCTATACACGCATACACACACATACACACTATCCCACCACAACTCTTCATTGACAATTCTAGAAAGAAAATTCGGATTGCCAACACACAAACAGAATGTCTCATATCGAGAATATTCCACATTGAACATGAAGAAAAAATTAATTATTTTAATAATATAAAAATATTTCACCTTAAGACGGTTGCGAGACCAGACCAGAAACACGTGTCGTGAAATTATAAAACAAAGTATAATATTTTTTTCTCAATAAATACATTACAACCAAAAACGTTTGGGCATCTTCTTTTTAATATATATATATATATATATATATATATATATATATATATATATATATATATATATATATATATACATATAAATATAGAAAACTAGACTCGTTTTCGAAAAACCCTCAATTTTGATTTGCTAATCAAATCAATCTCGAGGAAAAAAGGTTTTAAAAAAAGAAGAGCTACAAACATGAACTTCTGCCGACAAAAAAAATCGCACAGATGCAGGTCTGAAGCCCAAAAGAAAAAACCCCGATACAGTAACAACTAACTAACAAAAGAGCTCAATACAACCGTAGAGCTCTAGGTATATCTATCTATCTATCTATCTATATATATATATATATATATATATATATATATATATATATATATATATATATACTAGTCTCTCCAGTCGTTTTTCAGCGTATGAGGGTCAAGTAGCTATATTAACCGCGCATATTATTTGATTATTTTGAGGAGTGTATGTGCAGAACCAACCACACTTTTTGGAAGAGCCGAATGCGCAGAATGCCACAGGGTCTCCGCAGGTTTTCAATTCAGAGTTGTCCTTATTCACCAGGGCTACATGCAGTTTTAGAATTCATATCTTTCCTTCACCTCGACTGGTTGCCACTAAAGGCTGAAAAACCCAAGGCTAGTTAGCTTACTTATATATGGATGCTTTGAAGTCAGAATTGTCCATCTCGTAGACCGGTTACCAACCATTGCTCTAGGTGTGAATATATCGAATTTGACTGGGATTCAAACTCAGGCTTTCTATTACTCCACACTGCATTAAATTAAACCATATATTTAGTGGTTACCTAGATTCAGGTTTTGTAAACAGTTAAATTAATATTTACTTGCCTTGGGATAGGAAGATTTTTATAAAGTCATGTTTTCTGGTTTGATATGGTTTAGTTTGGTTTGTTTTGTTTTACGGCATATGAACCGGAGTGGGTTATTTAATACCGACAAGATTTTTATTGATGGTAATTTCTTTTTCTATTAAGACTATTGTTGGTATTTTTTCCAAAAATGTATTCTGGTAATATTTTTTTTTTCAAAAATGTATTGCTGGTAATAATTTTAATTGCTGATATTAAAACCTATTTTTATACTTTCATTGTGTCTTCTCAAAAACGCATAGCTGGTAATATTATTTTTTTCAAAAACGTATAGCTGGTAATATTATTTTTTCAAAAACTTGTAGCAAGTATTTTTTTTTCAAAAATGTATAGCTGGAAACATTATTTTTATCAGAGGCCTTGCTGTTGGACGTAGTTTATCGTCATACTCAGGATGTGGATGGAGTTTATCGCCATACCCAGGACGCCAATATAGTTTAAGTGTTAACTATTTGCCCATAGCTGAGACCCTAGCAGGTGCTACCACCACGAGTGAGGGTTGACCTGGGAACACCAGCAATTAAGAGGTGGTTCCACGCTTCTCAAAATCTCCTGATCAGAGGCCTTGCTCTCGAATGTAGTTTATCGTCTTACCCAGGAAGCGGTTGTAGTTTATTGTCATACCCAGGATGGACACGATTTCTGAATTACAACTTTCGATGTCTAGGCCAGTATAAACAAATGACACGGTTTTAATTAACAGGGAGGCGTGCACCTAATATATATGCAGTTTCAGGACATTTTAATTTGTCATTATTTATAAAATTCTATGAACGTTATGTTAAATGGGTACAAGCGTGTGAAAAGACTATTTTCTAAACATTGGCTTACGAGAATCTTAATGGAGAATATGCCAATCGGTATTCGTTTGATAGTAGATATGTCAGTCAAAATTAATTTCCCTTTGTAAAAAGAAATGCGCGTATTTGTACAAAACATTTGCACTAAATATAAACTGTTTATTTTTTAAATATTTCACTCCAAAGCAAGGCAATAAAGCCTCTAAGACTCAAGTTGTTACTGATCGTGGAAAAATATGAGAAAAAGAAAACATTATTAAGGAGAAGGAAACATAAAAGAAGAGGTATTGCAAATATAGGAGACAAGGATTGACATTGATTCTTAAATTATTGAAGGTCAAAGTTGGCTGGAAATCAAAAATGACCGAAGGCACTTCCATAAGCGAGAAGTGCGAGAGAATACACTCTTAGCATAGAACTTACGGTTACGTCTGTCTATTTCAAAATTACAATGAGACTTTCCTACCAATAAAACGGTTATATTGATTAGAAATGTTATATATATATATATATATATATATATATATATATATATATATACAAAAGATTCATTTTTGTTTCTGTGCAAATGCATCTTGACAGGTGATTTTTAAAAAAAAATAAATGCTAAGAACTGTGTGTTCGTCATCTGTCTGTTCTTTCTCTTTATTATATATATATATATATATATATATATATATATATATATATATATATATATATTGTCATCCACAGACTGTTTTGCAGTTCATCAGTGTGGCTAGACATGTGATTGCCTCAAACCGAGATGAAGGTGAATTTAGACGTATTTATTTGTAGATAAAACACGCCAATGACAATGAGAACTCAAATATATATATATATATATATATATATATATATATATATATATATATATATATATATATATGTGTGTGTGTGTGTGTGTGTGTGTGTGTGTGTGTTTCTGTGTGTGTGTGTGTGTGTGTGTGTGTGTGTGTTTAAGTTCTTATGTGTTATGTACATTTGTTGTTTTTTTGTTCTCTTGCAATTATTTCTACAGTTGCATGATAAACTTTGTTTATCATGCAACTTCCTGTGAAGCAAGTACCACAACTCGATATTGTAGTTCTATTTACACAAAGTTAAATGAGAAAATCAAACTAAGAAATCAAAGAAAAAAAACTGGTTTTGCATTTTGAGAAAGATCTGATTAAGAGCGTATAAGAAACAGTTAGTTTCTGAAACATTTCTCCAGAGATGAGGATATCAAAAATAAACCCGGTAACAAAAAAAGAAAATAGATCATCACTAAACAGAAAAATTGATAACGCCTGCCAAATATGCGTCTCGATTCTGGAGCCGTCTATAGGATTTATAGCATAAATACCAAAATAGAGGAATACTAAAGGTAGAAGAAAGACATCGTGCGAATATACTAACATCAAAAGATTGGAAAATAAAACATTATTGAGGCACTAAATAGTAAAAAGAATTTGTAAATAACAAAACATCAAATACCAGACGAAAATTCCTGATGTATTTCAGTCACTTCCCATCGAAGATTTTTACTTAAAACAGCCGGAATCTGACACAATCTAAGTATTTTTCCTTACTCATTAATGTTTCTAGTTGATGATTTGTAACGATAAACATGGTGACAGTTGTTTGATTTCGGTTTGTAATCTTATCATGTTTCAGCCCCAGAATGATCACGGCTTTCCACAGTTTCTTGTCCCTTTTTATTGTAAGAAATATTTTCGTCTTATCATTCATTTTTATTTGTTCATTTATTTTAATATTTTATTATATCCCACTTCGTAAGAATATTTTATTTGAAACCCCCGCAAAAAAGCATTGAACTGCTGTTTAATGTCCGGCTTTAAATAATGAACAGTTTCGTTCCATTCGAAGAAGAGACTCAAAGAAAGAAGGAATTGATTCTTCAGACAAATTCTAAGAATGGACAGAACACCTAGGCAACAAAGATGTTCTTTAAAAATTGGATAAAAGAAAGTCTACTCATATTAAGAACTGTGGAAAAGCTGAAATTTTGACAACTGGTAGTCGTTATCATCCATAATAACAGACTAAAAGACAGTTGAAATTTCGGTGTAAAATTATGACGAATTTTATCTTGGAAAACATAATAGTCACTTAATTTTGAGAGCTTTAGTTGTAGGGGTAAATAGAGAAACACATGAAAATCGAGTCAGTGAATGGTCGTAAAAGCAGAGATGAATTTTGAGGCGAATGGAGTTACAATATTAGCGAAACAGGTCAAATTTGTATACGTTATTTTTACTTATTTAAATATTTTACATTTAAATCATATTTACTATTTCCCTCTCACACACACACACACATACATACACACACACACACACACACACATATATATATATATATATATATATATAAGTGTGTGTGATGGATCTACAAAAATATTAGCGGGGCGCAAAATCTATAAACGTTTTCCTCTTTGTTTTTATGTACTCATTATGTCTGAGGCGAAAGGGACGCGCTTCTGATCAAGTGCGTGGGCATCTCTGCCGCGCAGATGTGTCCAACAAAATCAAATTCACGCGAATGGCCACGTCAAACTGACATCGAGTTCACTTTCGTCGGCGCTGCTGGGCGTGTCACGTGTACAGAATGCGTCCCACTCAACTCCCACGTTTCATCCTGTTTGGTGAACTCACCCGAAGAAACAGGCCACAGGCAAGCCGAAACGGACTCTTCAAGGATCAGTTGAAGACATCCCTGACAGAGGCTAATATCGACCCTGAGCTCACCACCCACATCCCTCTGTGACGCCTGCTCACGACGTTTCCAGGAGTAGTATGAGCATTCACGGCCATCTCCGCGCGATATATATATATATATATATATATATATATATATATATATATATATATATATATATATGTCAACAAATATATGGATATAGATCCGACAGTATGAAGAAAAATATACTGAAAAAACAAACAAAAATTCTATTATGCTGTTTTAATGTTTTAATATATATATATATATATATATATATATATATATATATATATATATATATATATATATATATATATATATATATATATATATATATATAAAAATGTTATATATATATATATATATATATATATATATATATATATATATATGTGTGTGTGTGTGTGTGTGTGTGTGTGCGATGGTATTGTGTTGTGTGTGTGTGTGAGTGTGTGTGTGTTGGTTGTGTGTGTTTCATCCGTGTGCGTGTGCGCGTGTGTGCGTGTACGTATGCACTTTTTTTGTAGAGAGATAAAAACAGTTTGCGATAGATAGATAGATAGATAGATAGATAGATAGATAGATAGATAGATGAATAGATAGATGCACATAAACGGAGATATCTTTGAATGAAATATAAAAAGAATAACCTGAGCAGAGTTAGCTGTCTTGATTTGATAGAAAACTAAATGAAAGAGCATTAGATAGATAGATAGATAGATAGATGAATAGATAGATAGATAAATAGACATAAATCGAGTATCAATATATAGAAATATAAAAAGAATAACATGAGCAATTAGCGAGCTTCATTGATAGATAAAAATGAAGCGCATGCCAAATTATTTGTAGATAGATAGATAGATAGAGAAAGAGAGAGAGAGAAAGAGAGATAGATATATAGATAGATAGATAGATAGATAAGGAACAGAATGAGATAGATAGATAGATAGATAGATGTTATTGTATAACATTACAAGTTACTTAATGTTATTGTATATCATTACAAGTGTCAGATCAAACTGAAAATTAACTTCCACCCTGCAATAGATAGATAGATAGATAGATAGATAGATAGATAGATAGATAGATAGATAGATAGATGTAACGAAGTAAAGAGTGCAATACATACCTGAATATATGCTTCAATATTCATCAAGTGTATTCACAGTTTTAGAGCCTTGGTTGAATTTGTTTTTCACAGTTTTCTCAATTACAACCCACGTTTCTTCTTAATATTCATGTTTCTGCTGACGGTTAGGTGTCGTATTTTCTGGCTTATTTACACATATGTATACGCTAAAAATATGCTTGAATATACATTTTTACATTTAGTTAATGCTCTCCACACATATTTACATATATCCATAACTATTGAACCTCTTTAGCATACAGAAATACGCGCCAATACAAACGAATGTTTCAGTTGTTGATTAGTCAGCTTGATAGATAATTGCTTCGAAACAACAGACAAAAATACATTTTTCAAATTTATATTAATCTGATACTTAGATAATTTATGAAGCAATAATGTTTAATTTGGATATGTATTAATTAGAATGGTAATTATGAAACTTACGAAATATATCACATCAAATTAAATTAGCCTACTCTTTGTGTAAGCCGGTCACGATGCTTTGTCGTTTTTGATATTTCTCGAAAAATGAGGTTACTACACCGCCGCCCTGCGTCTTCTCTCCAAATAACAAGCGAACATTCTTACTGGATTTATGCCATATATACAGATTATGATATAAAGGTAGTGGACGATTATGCTATTATTGTGCATTCATGTCTTTGAGATATCTTTGAGAAAGCCCTACAATGACGGCGTTAATGGTTGCGACGAAAGTGTGAGCAAGCCGCTTGTATTGAGACTAGAAATAAATGGCGTCTCACGATAAAAGGGGGATATCTCCGAGAGACTCCGTGCTTTAAGGACATTGGGATTTAAACTCAACCCTGAGCTCAAGGGGACGTCGTACATACGAACCGTTGCTAAATATAGTTGAAAAATAGTTCCGTTTACCGCTCCAGAAAGTACCTAACTCTAAATGTTATTGTATACCATTACAAGTGTCAGATCAAACCGAAAATGAGGTAACATATGTGGGCAGGAAATGGCCAGTCTTCAATTTTCTGTCTCGGTAGAGTATAAAAAGAGTGGATGACAAATTATCTTCTACCCTGCAAATCATTTCCCAAAGACGAAACATTGCAAGCTATCATAGATGATAAAGATCGTTACTATATGATAACAGTTACATATATATATATATATATATATATATATATATATATATATATATATATATATATATAAAAAATATCTGGAAAAACAAAAAAATTTTTAGAATGTGATTATGTTGTTTTAATATGAATTCATGTTAAAACAACATAATCATTCTAGATGCTATTTGTTTTCAGATATTCTTCATTCTATCAGTTATATCTATTTATATTTGCTTATCATTATATATATATATATATATATATATATATATATATATATATATATAAATATATATATATATATATGTGTGTGTGTGTGTGTGTGTTTGTGTGTTAGGTTAATCTATAAGAAAAACACGTTTTCGTGCCACGCGTTTCCGCCTTTAGGAATTCATCGGCTCAAATTTTTACATTGATGCGAATACGCATGCGCACTAAGTGCAGGGAACGCTGAGACAATTACATTATATTTTTTTTAATAAATGTTTTGGGTATGAAGTCTAACCGATTTCAATTAGTTTCTTTTTCTTATTAACAATGTGCTAAAACGCACATTGTTAATAATTATGCCACATTGTGATAATAGAAAATCTGCCATGAAAGAGCAAATATTTTCATATTAAATTTACTGCCGATTGTTTAGCAATAAGAGCACTTTCTATATATTTTCGCCTTTATTAAATTACATTTTCAATTTCTCGTGAATTTCCCTGTACTTAATATATAATCATTTATATATCGTTTTCTGATATATATATATATATATATATATATATATATATATATATATATATATATATATATAAGTGAACATAAAGTCAACACTTAGAATCAGTCTGTGTTTCATGCTAAATGCAATCGTCAGGCCATGAGACTCGTGGCCTGACGATTGCCTGATGTACGATTCACCTCTAATGTGCTATATATATATAATATTTATATACGCTCTATCTCTGATATTGAGCACTTTATCCCATAAATATAGCACATCTTAAGACTATATTTCTTCATATATATATATATATATATATATATATATATATATATATATATATATATATATATATATAATTATTTATTTAAAAAAAATTATAACATAAATATGTTATAAAATCACTACAAAAATAGCCATTTTGTTTCAACACTCTCAGTGTCTTATCAAGTGATAATGTTGAATGTAAAATAAATGGTTTTAAAAGTTTAGAATTAATTAACAATCCTTCACAAGGGGAAAACCGTTGTTACAAAAGCTAGATGGACCAATCAAAATACAAGTATAGGAAAAATTCAAAAAGCTAGACAACGAAGTCATGTTATAATAGCTATTCAGATTTTAAAATATGGGTAGTATTAAAAAAATTTATTCTAACCAATAATTACTAAATTATATGATAAAATTTAATATTAAAATTAAAACCTGCTAATTTCAAAATCAAAATTTAATCGCTATTAAGTTTACAACTATAAAAATTACTGAGGAGAAAGAAGAAATATATATATTATTCAATTTATTTCTTCATTGAAGTTACTTTATCTAATTTTATATCGGTCCTTTGACAATTTATACATTTTAATCCTAAGAGTATGTGAATGGGGTCCTAAACTCACGCGTAAAACAAACGCAATCAGATTATAATATATAAGCACCCAGACGTATTTATATATATATACACACACACAAAAAGAGACGAGACAGAGAACATCACCACGATCGTTTAAAAAAAAAAAAAAAGAAAAAAAAAGAAGTGGGGGGGAAGGAAAACCAATACACACGTACATACATACACGATTAAAAGTGAATGCACTTTCCATACACGTAGACAATTATAAATATATGCACACACATCCACAGACATTGACCCAGACAATCGGATACTACAACCAATAAATATTTAAGACTGAAAGTGTCATTACATAATTGCTCACCACTTATTGAAATATAACTTAAGCGAGCAAATATACAAAGATAAAAATGATTAAATTATATCTGCTCTACTTTGTATTGAGCACTCTTTTAAGAATAGTATTTGTTGGTTATTGGAATTCATTCCATATGTGCCAATCATATACTTGTATATATATATATATATATATATATATATATATATATATATATATATATATAGTCAGATCTATCAACACTGATCACATATGCGACGTCTTCCCCACCCCAAGTCATCGCCTCTTCCCCTAGTTCAAAATCACAGTCCCACCACGTTCCACACCGATAAAGACAAAACAGACCAATGAGTTCACCATGATCATTTTCAAAAAATGTTTCGCATGTGATGAATCAAGCAGGAATCGAATTTGTACTAATAATACCATCTACAACGAGTTCACACATCCCCCACCAAAAAAAAAAAACATCGTTTGTGAGTCTTCCCCGTTTCTCTGTTTATTTCTCGCACCGCTGATGAAGGACACAGGCACACCCGAAAATTCCGGTCTAATAACATTAATCTCCGTGTTTCATATCTGTCTTGTGATTAACAATTAATATATAATAAATTCTTTTAGCACTGATCACATTGTTACCCTTTCGTTTTCACTGTTTTATTAACCAAACTTATCTATTATATATATATATATATATATATATATATATATATATATATATATATATATATTTAAAATTATGTTTTTTTTTTTTTCTACACACTTCTAACCATGTTTCAAAAATGGAAGCTAAAAGCCACGAATTTAATTTTGCAATTAGATTAAAGACATTAGTTCCATTTCATCCTCAAGCGAATTTTGGAGTAACTTTTAAAATTACTGGGTTTTAAAGACACAGCTAAAATCCTGTTTCCATGGTTACAGATAAATCTACTTCAATTGGACAAGGGTTATCTGCGTTTTCCTTCTGTCTGTATCATTGTATCGGTTATTAGCTACATTTTAGTAAGGGGTAGGGATGTATTTTTCAAAGTATTGACATCCGTTGAATGCATGTCGTCTGGATTTTTTTTAAATTTATTGTTAACGACAAAAAATTCTTACGGCATTTTTTTCTATTTGTAAATTTAAAGATTTTTCAGGGTTGTTCAAATTAGGATACTTTTAGTTTTTATTTAACTACGATTTGAAATATTCTCATTTTTAATTTTATTATCCTATATTTTTTTTAAATGTATTAGAATCCCTTATATTATGTAGGATTATTTTTTACAACAAGTATGTATATTAAGGTACATTTTTTTTAAGTAAAATTTATGACAATGACGGCAAAAATAGCTACTTAATTTACTGATTTAGTAAACTTTTATTTTATATATATATAAACCTAATAATATATTGTTTCTTATGTAAGTACAAAGGACATGGGTCATTCATAAGCTTACATCCTCTGGCATTTCATATTAATTTTATTTTACTATAGGTGTTTTATTGGATTCTTTTAAGTGCGTGTAGTAAAAGAAGTTTAGGTTAGAATTCATTTTATTTAACTACAATTTTAATTACAACTTTGAAATATTTTCATTGTTATTTTTAATAGACTATATTACTTTATAACAGAAGGAAATGTATTTGAAATTACTTATAGTAAGTAAAACTATTTTCCATATCAAAAGTATATGTATATTATGATTTTAAACTTTTATATTTAAATATTATTTAAAGTAAAATTTATAGCACTTACTGGAAAAAATAGCTAATTTATTTCTCAGATTTAGTAAACTCTATTTATTAATTAATTAATTTATTTATTTTAAATATATATAAACTAAGTAATAAAGTTTCATATGTATGTACAAAAGGACATGGGTCGTTCACAGGCCTACATCATCTAGCTTTTTCGTTATGATTTCATTTTTCAGTAGGTGTTTTATTGGATTCATTTAAGTGCCGGTAGTACTTTTGTTAGAAGTGTTTAGGTTAGCATACATTTTATTTAACTGCAATTTTTTAAAATATGCTTAG